TGTTTGCATTAACATTAACGCCTGAACATGAATTGCGAGTTTTCTAGTTCCTCATTCACATCACGAGAGAGGAACTGCTTGATTCGCGTGCACAAGATGGTTGCCTCTCTCTGATGCACCTGGCCGGATTGGAGCCGGCATCTGACCGCGCCGATCACGACACCGTGCGTGTGTCAGAGTCCAAACTCATCAGTACGTCGTTAATGACGCTCAAGGAGTGCATCCGTGCGAGGGTCCAGGCACACCCAATACGCGATTTCAGTGGTTTACAGTAATAGAAGTTTCAGTGTATCCTTTCTTCCACATGAGCGACTGCGGAAGCACTCTACTGTCGCCTTGTGAGGATACGCTATTGGCTTGATTGACCCTCAGCTTCTGCATTCAATGCTCATGCAGCGGGAAGGTATGGAGAGATACAGAGAGGCGCACTGTCGCTACTATCATCAGGAGTTATTATATAAAAGGGAAGGAGGCAGCCATGAGCTCCTTATTTCACCCGCTACTGTTGCTGTGACTGGTGGGAGCGGTGCCCCAAACGATTTAGATCACAAAATCATTGTACATTCTTAGCAAAGTTATATTAAGAGTGGCATGTAGACAGGTACTTGTACAGGAACACAACATGTATAACAATGAGTAGACAAATTAACAAGTAGATTAAATTGTAAGTAAGTTAATCAAGACCTCAGCGCTGAATATAGAACCAAGTAAATGCCAAATTTTCAAAGTATTTGTCTCTGATGAAGTTTTGTTGGCGTTAGACGCTGAAAGCGAACGCAATTATGCAGGCAACTGTACATTCATTTGTGTATCTGATCATTGCCATGGGCAGACGAAATAGGATAGAAACACTTCCTAGAGGATCTTCGCAATTAATATGCTCTCCATTCTATTTTGATCGACGGCGTTGAGATTACCCCAGTTTTCTGCGAGGTGCTTGTCCGTTTCACGCGCGTAACGACGCTGTCCTGGCGTCTGGGACACACCAAACTGAGTGAGGAGGAATCGTGTCAAATGTTCAGTATCCTGGCGGCGTAGCGCAGTCGCCATCGAATTGCTTTGAAGGAGGCCAATAATGAAGCTGCAGTTTTTGAACAGCCTTCCAAAACGCTCTCGAGGAATTCTCCAGCATCAAACGAGGCTGACCAGTTAATACGATCACTGAGCCATTATTAATTTCTACATCACATGGCAACGAGATAGGCGTCAGCTTCCTATTTGCGCGACCATTAGTCAATCTCTTTTGCTTCTGACGAATGCTGAACGCCGCACATCGAACGCCGCCCCCAAGGGCCTTTGCGTCTTTGGAGCAACAGCCAGTGGGTTTGTGCACGCCGCCCCATATCAAACTTCGGAAGATTGTCCGATACCTGTCATTACCGGACATGACTTCATGACCTCCATGACCTTCGTGACCTTCATGACTTCGTGTCTTCACGACCTTCAGCACCTTCGCGACTTCATGTCCGGAAATGAAGGGGCATCGTACATTTGCGAAACCTCGTGTCTTCCATACTCAGGTGCGCGGTCTGTTGGGCCGCCACATCCACATCCCCCACCGTCGATCCCAGCTGACGCTGCTCCTCCGCGCGGCCTTCGAGCTGGCGGCGCACCGTCCGATCAAGGTGGCGGCAATCGCGTGCGCATCTCCCATCGGCAGCGACGTCAGACAGACGATCAACACCCTGAGGTGAGAACGGCCTGGGCGGTCGGTCATCGGGGGCGATGTCTTGATGACTGCTGCGCCATTCGGAAACAAATGCCACCATGGGACATCAGCCGGTCGTCGGCTGGAAAATGGTCTGGCCTGCTTTGGCTGGCTGGATATGTGCATGCCAAGCGCGCACAGCAGGATCGCCTTCAGATTGCAACGCTCAGGTGATCTTTTTCGCGCGGAAGATATGAACGGAAGTTGTTCGAAATGTATGTCGAGTTGACGACTATCGATCCGCTCACCCATCTGAACGATTATGAGGCGTAGCCCACTGGATGGTCCCTATGATCTGGGGTGAGCAATTAATGGGGGCAGGCGGAACAAAGCCGGCGTCGAATTCTGTTTGATGCAGAGACGGGTGGCGTGAAAATGTGTTCCGCCACATTGTCTGAGTTTGTTGCTCTTCACAAGTCTGTAAGCGTACATGCATCCATATGGGTGGTTTCTTCCATTCCTGTGTGTTCGACCTAGAACATTCCTTCAACTTCTTCAAGGTATACCTTGAAGCATGCATGCTTCTTCCCAGATACGTGCAATGAGGCAGTTGCAGGACTGCCCAAGAGAGTCTCATTGAGATCCTCCGCATCAAGATGTCAAAGTGGACTAATGTCCAGGAATAACTAGTAAAAAGCAGGGCAAAATACACGGTTTTGAAAATTATGTACCGTTTAACACGATTGATAATTGTGATATTATCGTGGTAAATCGCGTATTTATTATATAAAAATGGGACGAAAGCGTGGAGCAACGATTCAGTGAGTATACACGAATTTTTACACGTTTTGACACTGTTTTACACGATTTTTTGCAGGGCTCGAAACCATGTATTTTGGTGGATTTTTTAATTGCGAATATCGTTTTCTCCCGGTAGCTCGCAGGCCTACCCCCCGGGGAGCCAATTGACTCCTAACGCTCCCCCCCGTACTTGTACAAATATCCTACTGAACTCTTCTACAGAGTGAAATCACGGCAGTTTTGCTCTGACACCCTGGAGTTTCCACTGCCCAACAGCACTTCCCAGAGTTGCTCAAGCAATTCTTTGGTGCCTCTGCTTGAGCTAGGTGCTGGAGGGTGGTTCCCTCCCACAGCATGGTGCATTTGTCTAGCTGAACGCGAAACCATGATCCAACGATCCAATTAATCAATTGAACAATGCCCGTTGATTCAAATAATTCCACTATCGTTAATTGCCTCCGTGAATTCCAGAAATACCATCAATTACTTCCATTCAATTCATTGAGTGAATGATTATTGATCAATGATCCAGTCATGAGTGGACCCATGCACACTGTCTTCCTTGATGCCGTGGGGGTGGGGTTTCTGCCAATCATTGTGAGCTCATTGTAGACCGCTAGCAGAGGGACGCTGTTTTCACCATCCGAGTTCAGCAGAGAGACGTGACATGAACAGCGCGTCGGTTTTTCATGTTGCCTGTAAAGGATGTTCATTCGTCCATTCAGCGATCACTGGGTGCCGTGCTGAGGTATGTGACGGAGCTGCGGTCCACGCCCAAGAATATGGTGACGGACCGTGACGAAGAGGATCCGGTGTTGTGGACCCGACAAGAGGCGATGGCCTGGCTGAACCGCGTGCCCAAAGGGGACGTGACCCCAGAGCATGTCCTGCCCCTGGGGTGGTACAACGGCCGGGCCATGGTCCAGATCCCCGATCTGGAGTTCGTCGCGAGGGCCATGAAGTCCGGGAGGGTGTCCGAAAGCCGGGCGGCCAAAATGTACAAGGGGCTGTGGCGACGAGTGGCGGACGCGAGGCTGAGGCAGAGGGAGCTGGTGCTGAGGTGCGGGCCTGCAGAGAGGGAGGCCGCGGCTGGAGCTACGAGCTTAGGGAGGAAGTGCCGGGAAAATTGGCAGCAGAAGCGGAAGGAAAGGGGAAGGGGAAAGTGAGTGAAAACTATGATGCATCCATTGAGAAATATAGTACATTCAGCAGGTTCTAGGGGCAGGGGGAATGTATTGGATCCAAGGCATGGCGGTGTTCAGGATCCCGAATCCGTAGACGTGCTCGTGAGTTCAGGGAACGTGGGAACTTCGTTCTCATGGAAAGTGAGCAAAGGCAATTTGCTGACGTTCGCTTTTCCAAGGGCAGTTCCGCTTCCACGGGGAAGGTAGGAAGCTGATGGGTAACTATTTGCATACGATTGTTTTTGGTTGCAAAGGGGGAAGGGAAGGCGATGGGAGGATAAGTCCCAAACACTGGATCCGTATCTTGTGCTCAAATTCGGCAATTCGAGTACGGCAAAGGCACTGGCAATGTCCTCGTCCGTGCTGCACCCGTCTGCGGGGCGAATGTGTGCGCACGAGATTTGAGGGACCGACGAGCACACACGCGATTATCCTGTGCGACAAATCAACGAGCCAATGACGTAATGGGTGATGTGAGTCACATCACGCGTCGTAACATCAAACTTCAGCGTAAGATTTGAGTTCGTGACGACCTAAGGGCAATTCTGTGACGTAAAACTGACACGCGCGGGGCATGGTGGTGAGGTGTGGTGGGTGTGGCTGTGCGGGGGAGATGGCGGAAAAGGGCGTAGGCAGTTGACCTGTAACACTAAGAATGACGATGTCGTCATACCGTCCATGCGACAACGCTCCGGAGCATTGCCATGGCGGCTCTGGGGCAACCCTGTAGCCTGCCCAGATCTGCGTGGACCCGCAGGGAACAGGAGTCGGTCAAGTTCAGCTCCACCAGTCCAGCATCCTGGCAGGTGTCCAAGCGGTACTGCCACTCATCACGCTTGCCCAGTACATGGTCACCTGTCCCAGTTTGCCTGCCAATAGCCGCTCCTCTGCACTCTTGCACGGGAAAGCCACGCCAGGAGGTCCTGTGGAGTTCCCAGTGATGCCGCCTGAATCAAGTGACCACCGCAATGGACAGGATCTGACCTCGCAAGCCGCCTCCCCAGCGCACTCTGCAGGATTGAACCCATCACAGCCGCATTCCAACGGCAATTGCAAACCGCATAGGAGCCCCGCACAGAGAGCCCCAAGTCGCGCACTCACGTACTGGAACAACTTCTGCAGTGACACGCATTGTGCACCAACGATTTTGAGCAACATCTGCCCATTGCGCTCATGTCGCGTGGCGCATGTACACTGTGTCCTCCATTTCGCTGCAAATCTCGCCATCAGTCACACATCTGACGTCAACAGCTTTCCGAGCCATTCGAATCAAGACCAGCTTTCGGGCAAGTGCGCCACCAGCCCAGCACATCAAAATGCGAGCAGTGGCGCATTTACACAAGTGCTCCGGGTTTAACTCTACCCCATCACGTTGGCGTGGATGGCTGCGCAGAAGCTCGACCAGCGGGCAGGGCCCTGGGAGCCAGCCCGGCGCCCATCCACCCCGCAATCTCGTCTGCCAGCGCAGCAATACTGCTGGCCGCTGGACCTCCTGCATCGCCTCCGAAAAAGGACGCCATGCTGCTCACACTCTTTGAAAGCTGATCCAGTTGATCCGAACCCTCAGCTTGGCCGGCGTCTGCCGCCATCTTTGACAGCTGGCCTACACACAGCACGAAAAAAGTTAAGAGTGGGGTGGGAAATTTCGCTACACAAGTCCCGTCCACCAGCCACCAGTACCAGACAGTCACACTTTTTTGTCCGAGCTTCCCAGGTTCGTTCGGTACCCATTATTTCCGGATATTAAGGGCGCGAAGGGTTCTTGAAGATCTTCAGTGGTGCGACGGCCGCAGAAACCTAAAAATCCAATATCCTTAACCCCGAAATGACCTTCACGTCCTTCATGTCCGGAAGTGAAGGGTATGGGACATTTGTGAAGCTTCCACCACGGTGAAGTGGCGATCATCGATGTGTCAGAAATGTGCCACTGACGAAAAGCGGCCATTTTAGACATTTTTAATTGCAGATCGGGCTTAAATTGAAAAAGGCAGGGGAAGCCTACTTGCTGGAGGCATTGTCTGCAGTTCAGTGCTTTGACCAGTCGATGGGCAAGGCATGACAGAGCATGGCAGTGATGAAAGATCGTCATAATACACAACGCCCGTTAGGACTGGGTGTTGTGCATTCAGCTCAGCGTCAGCATAGCCAATGTCAGACGCAACCACTTGTGAAGAACCTCTGTGTCAGTGTCATAAAGATCTGTTCAACATCAGACAAACGATCCACACCACAGGCCTCCACTCTTCACCAAATACTGTGATGCAGCAGACGCGCATGTCATCAAATCAAACACTTGACATGGCACAGGATATTTGGCTGATTTTGTTCGACTGCTGGGTGTCAGTTCGAGCCCTGCTGGGAAAGTACTGCTTTCTTTGATCCATTCTGTTCCAGCAATTTTGGGTCGACTTGCTGCTGCAGCGATTTTTCATTTCCTGATGTACAAACACTCAATGAAGTTTGTCGATTCGACAAAGAATCGATCCCATCACTTTGGTATCCATGCTGTCCATGCTGGAACAAAGTTGCCGAGGAAGCAATTGTTGTTCGTCTCCATTGTCATGGTGCCCAAAGCAAATTAACATGCCCTTCATGCATATAGTCAGATGTCCACAGAATGACCAATACAGTTTCAATGTACATCCATCTACAGGCACATGCCACAATACATGTTGCTGCAACTGCCACACGGCCATTGGTGCTGAAAGCCAAACATCTGCAACAATTCCAACTAGGAGGAAAAAGTATGCTGCATGGGATGAGGAGGGGCAGACAACGGAAGATAAGAAGCAAAGGACTTGACCAGTGCAGCTGTCCATGCCTCAGGCCACACCTACCGATGATGTCACCTCCCGTCTCGCATGCCTGGTTTGCAGCCTGGGCCACACTGGGTGGCAGGTCCACCATGGCTTGTTGCATGGGTCGAGCATGATCGCCTGGTAGTGTGCGAATGGTCATGTCCAGAATGCCCCCGATTCCAGACGCCTGAATCATCGATGCTAACTCATCGCTCTCATCCATCTGGTCATCAGTGAACTGCAACAGAAGGTTGCGGCGAACACCTGTGGAGCTGACACTTCTCAGACACCTTCCACTGCCCAGCCGGTAGGATGGGAAGCAAACACCCATAGGCCTCCATCATGAGTCATGACCATCCCACCATTGTCCACAACGCTCTACACGCAGCAACATGCACAACTTCCCTCTTATTTGCTGAGATCCACAGGAAGATGCATGGGGCATAAAGATCTCATGCAACAATTCTGGTGCTTTGCTGCTTCAAAACAAAGATGGTTCAAAGAAGCCTCTGCCATGCCCGCACCCTGAACTTGAACTGCTGAACTAAGGGCAGCAACATCAGCACTTGTACCAAATTACAATACAGTAGGTGCATGTCTACTTCTGCTTTGCGGTGGAGGCCAATCTTCTGTCTCTCACTCCCTACATCCACACGGCACCTGTTGCTAGCTCCAATCATGATGTCCCTCCTTCCCAACTGGGCCCAAATGAACTACCACTGTGCAACAGCTGCCCATCACCCACTTGCAGGCAAATTAACTTACAAGATAGAAAGACAGTACAAAACAATCAAGCCTAAGCCGTGGGACTCACCATAGAAAGATCGAATCCTGTTCCGTGTCTCTTCTGGCGAGGGGGAGAATTCCTGGCGCCCTTGAGTCACGTCCATGTATATTGGGGCCAGCTGCTCAGCCAAGGGAATTATCTGGCGTATGAGGGAGGGGCTGATGCCCTTCAGCATGCCTTGGAGCATTTCTGCTGTGGGACGAAGTGGAGATGACGCCAGCTGGCTCAGAACTGGCCCCAACAAGGTAGAGGAGGGCCCCAGCTGTGCCAGCAGTGGCACAACCTATGCAACAGTGCACACAAAAGCTTTGAGGAAGATCGAACGCTGAGGCGAAATGGTGTGCATAGCCACTACAGCATGCACCACAAAGCGCCCTATGCATAGAGCTGATGAAACATACAGCGCATGCGCAACCCAACCATTGATGGACGCATGCCATGAGAATGTGTTGTTGTATTGTGCTGTTGTTGTTGTTGTCGTTCCTTGCTACTGACAGGGGATCAACTGGCCCAAGGGAATGGGTAGTGACAAGGTGGTACATGCCCATCCTTGCCAACTTGGTGCACTGACTTGGAATTTTGCGTGCAGCAAACAGCCATTGGGCGATGTTGTCATGTTCGCATAGTATGGTCTGCTGTGCATGCAGTTGCCCTGTGGTATGCCTCTCTCGTCAATGGATATTGCGGAGTACACAAGAGCCCCCACCCCACCCTCATCTATATGTCAGTCAATAGCATGCCGGCAAGCAATTGCCACTGGCTTCTGGTCATAAATGAGTCAGGGTTCACAGCATAGTGCTATGCACCAGAAGTTGGGCTGAGGGTGCAGTACTCCTTCCCCTGGAGCCTGCATTTGAAACTCCACAGTTGTGAGCCCATTAGAATCGAGACTCTCAAGGGTTTAACCATACACACTCCTCTTGGGCTATTGCCCAGCTACCTGAGCGATGCATGGTGTCCATCAGTTCGCACAATGATAAGACAACAGAAGAAACTGTCCTGATATATGGTTTGCCTCTCCTGGCGTGATGTGGACACCGAATTCTGCAATGGACGTGCTATGCTGACATTTCACGTTCTACAGTTTCTGTCCAGACAGGTGTGTCCTGGGCCTCCCATTAAAACTCCTCAAAAGTGGAGGGAAAATGGGATTTCTTCCTTGCCACACTGTCTTGCAGCAATCTTGCCTTTCCTAGCATGTTATCATAACTGTGGAAATTCACACGTTGCAGAATTGACGAGTGCGGATCAGTTCAACCTTTTGTTGAAGCCAAACTGCCAACAAATTCTGACATGTAGAGAGTTGTACAGTGGTATGCTGCCTGCCATATCGTGTGCCTCTATCGCACCAGATGTTGTATTCAATGGTAATTACGGAGAAGCTGGTTGGCACACAATTGCGATTCCATAAAATGTGACCACTATTGCGCAGTAGGCGCGAATTCCCTGCGATTCTTGACGAAAGATAGTGATATGGAAGACAAATTAATCACCAGATGAAATACATCACAGTGCATCCATTGGAGAGATTTTCCATGCAGAGGAAGTACCATCATGTGCATACGACTGTGCAAGCTGAAGCATGCACCATGCATTACAATGGTCAGTCACTCAGTCAGCACAATGCTATTCCCCTTCTATTTATTCAATTCACAAGCCTTTTGGCACACAAGGCTGACAATCATCTTCAGGTCTGCCCTGTGCAGGGCACTGCTGATGTGCCTCGCACCTCGGTGGCTGGCCTGTTGTTGAACGACATCAGCACGTTGCCAGCCCGCTCTAAAGCGTACCTCGAGCTGATGAGCAGATGGATGAGTGCACCAAGAGAGTGTCCTGCCCCATACACGGGAAGCTCCTCTGCATACTCTCCTATGGCAGTCATTGCACTGTCGAACTTGAATTGAGCTTCATCAGCTGCGCGCAAGTGGTCAAAGGTAGTGCTGAACGGTGTGGCAACCACCTGCAGCAAGCAGGCATGCATGACTCAACATATCTGACCACAAAACAGGGCAGATCACCACTGTAAAGTGTCAAATATGGCTATTGAAATCATGGGCCACCACAGTTCGTGGTCGGACAGATCGCCTGCCAATAAACGGCGTCACCCAGTTGTGCATGCGAATTGACCAACACATGGATGTAATCTCTGTCCATGAATGACCATCATGCTGATTTGCGGGTGGAACGTCCATCCATGATTTAGGTAACCGAAGGGTTATCATCTATCTGTGTTCTCGATTAGCATCACACTGATTCGGGGATGGAGCATCCATCCCCACAGTTGTGGACAGCTGTGAACACCCTTGACAGAAAAGATTCCAACAACAATGCAAGGTATTGGCACTCTACAAGGATCCCACAATGATGGTTCCAGAGGCATGGCATTGCGATGTAACATGCTGGTATTCCTACAAAAACTGACTTCGCAAAAAGCTTGAATCATTGCGGACACGACAGGACGGGTACTGCCTGTCCCACCCTACATGTCTGAGAATGTTCAGTTTGCCCGAGTTCAGCATGCAACAGGAGTGACCTTGCCATGGTTGCAGGTGGAACATCTCTTCAGTTGCCACAATTCGATGAGCATAGACCACCGTCTGAGAGATCTACAGAAAGTTGCCGGGTTTTTGACACAAGCAATCATCGCACAATTCCAATATTTCAAGCAACTAGAATCAAGCAGAATCGAAGCCAACATTTCGTTGACAATGCGCTTGTGTGCATGTGCTGCCAATATAATGTGCCCCCCAGGTGTTTGGAGCACGCAGCCAAAAGATGTGACTGCAAGTGGGATCCTAAACATGTGTGCACAAAGTAGCCTGGGTCTGACACTGTCACTGCCCTTTCACTGCCTCTCTTATCACCAAATAACTATTCACAATGTGCGTATGTGTCTCAAACTCTCCACTAAAGCAATACACCCATTTTCTGTGTCATATTATGTGAACGAACAATGTATTTGTGTGCATATGTGTACTTCATCACCTAATTGCTTCCCTACCTGCTCTTCTATGTATCACTGTAACTGCTTGTTAGGAACGTTGTATACATACTGACAATGGAATGGATGCCAAGATTTTGGTGGAAAGTACTCCGCAGAACCCAGCTGGGCTGCACTCACATCGCCGACAGTACACAGGGGGCAGCATTAAATCAACCTGCATGCTGCATCATGGCCTCATCGGTGTGTCATACAGAAGAAGTGCTTCTTACATCCAGAACTACATTTCACCATTTTGAGGGGATGCTGTATTTGAGTGTTGTTAGTTTGGGATACTCAACGAGGGCACAAGCCATGAGGAATACGATGCCCTCCTAAAAATTGCAGTGAATGGGTAAGTATGACACAATTGTTGTGCTTCAAATCCACAAGCCTTGCAACAATAATCTTGCAAATAAACAGGGTCTTGATGGTGCTGCATAAAGTTGTGCCCTGGAGTGGAGCTGCTTCCCATGGTCCTCTTGGAGCTGACACGCGTGACAACGTGTGGTATGCCCTCTCCAGTGCGAAGGCCACCATGCTTGGGCACTAACAAGGGAACGCCATCCTAGTCCCTTACATGGGCGCCAGCAACACCATGCAGATGAGCAACGGTTCACTGCATGTGACGCCAGTGCTTGTTGGGGGGCACCACTTTGGAGGCTTTCGAAATGGATTGAATCCCCCTGTTGTGAGGAAAAGGCGTTTTCCAGGGCTTGCACCATGTCCTTTCTTTCAAGGCAGATGCTGCGTTTGATGGTTCGCTGCATTTTGATGTTTTCAACCCGATTTTCGAACAAAGACATTCATTTCCAGACAGAGGAAGCAGAGGATCGACACAATCAGCCCCTCCACTCTTGGCTGCCCCACAACCACAAATGTTGAACAGGGGATGACAGCATCAGACCATGCCTGGCACACAGCTCACCAACACTTTTCGCTCTGCAAGGCTTTCCAACAGTTGCCTGTACGCCAGTTGCGGAGCCGCGCCAACAAAGGCTCCCCCAACAAAATGCACAACAGCCACAGGCTCGGTGCCAGGAGGGGGCCGCAGAACCCAACAGTTCTCGATTTCTTCCCAGTCACTGCGCCCAGGTGGCTGGTTGTTGTAAAAGACATCCTGCAGCCAATGGCACAAAGAAAAAGGACAACAAGCCATGAATCAGATCACCCTAATATCCTGGCTGTCTACGATTGAGGCTGGTGCTCTTGCCATGCCCTTGAGTGTATATGTCTGCACCATGCGCATGCTGACGCTCATGCACTGTATAACCCATGACTTGAATGAATCTGTTTGGATTTGTTCACCTTGGCACACTGGAGCACAGGTAGCTTGTGATGCTTTCTGAGATGCCAACACAAAATTTTGGCAGCGAAGCACACTTTGCTGAGCATGTTCACATCATCATTGCCAGATGAATGCAGACATTCATGAGGGTGGCTGTCAACAGCACCTGCAATAGTGCTCCAAGAACAGAGTGCAGGTTGTGGCTGGTCGACAACAAAAGAACACCAATTTTTGCAGTGAGAATGGCCCTCACTGTACGTGTTGTCACTTGCCATGCTTTTGGTACAATTTCCACAGCAATCCCACAGCTCAGGCTGCCAAATCACACGGAGCACAACAGACACATGGTATCCATGTGAGGAATGCATATTACACTCAGTAGGTGGGCAGCACAAACAACAACACTTAAGCAACAGATACTTGTGAATGTAATGCCCAGCCATTGTTACAATGTACAAGGGCAGCGAATCACGACACCTTGAATCAAAGCAGATCTCTGCCATACACAGCGACTACACACTTTACTTCTACTTGTGTCCCACACTTGTCATGCGACCAAGCAGCACCACTTTTACTGGATTGCCAACGTCGGGCAATGGTCCCCAGCACATGTGCTTGTTTTACACAGACACACAGGCATACAATGGTGGTCCACGATACACACAGCATTCTTTTTCAAGGAGGCAGTCAAAGCTAGTAGGGAGCATACCTGAATGACCCTCTCTACCCCAGTGAAGGAGCCCTGGCGATCGTCAGACCCATTGAATGTGTCACTCCAATCACCGCTGTTGGTGGCAGCACCACAATGTACCCAACGTGACTGAACTGGTGGCCGCGGGTGCCCTTGTGTGGTGCCTAAGCAGCCATGGCAAATTCCATGGTTCATTTGTGAAAAACGACAACAGAACAGCCCAAGCTGGAATTCACGGGCAGAAGCCCATTCACAAGAACAACCTCAGGATGCGTATCAGGAGCCCTCGCACACAAGATAAATCAGAAACCACCCATAGATGCCCTGTCTGCACGTGCTCATGATCTCATTGTTTTCTGAGAATGGAGGACCAACTGCATCATGTGGGGGTACAACTGAAGCTGTCTTGCTGAAACAGGGAAGCAAGACACAAGCTGCCCCCCAACCCCAAGAGCAATGACTTCGCAAGACTATTCGCCATACTGCAGAATGATGTTTGATTTTCCTGGTGTTGTTCCACACACTGCTGGAAAGCATGAGCATAGGCAGCAGTGGAGGAAGCGCCAGTTGGCACCAACCCCAACTGGCAAATGCACCACATACTACTGGAGAGGCAGCTCAACACCAGGGTACAATGATTATAAAGGTTCTGTGAAAATTCTTCGACCCCTCTATGTCACCCTTGTTGCTTTGTCCACATTTTGGGGTTGCAGCAGACTGTTTCTCCTTGTTGGTGCATCCACATTTGAGAATGTAGCACACTGGGATGTGGGAACAGCCAAAAATGTGACAATGTGGTTGACATTGTGTCGTTAATGGCTGAAAGGAAAACTGTGCTTTCAAGCTTTGCAACCTCATTCTCAAGCGGAAATTGTTGTAAAGTTCTCAAAATACTCCATTGACTTGTCGTTGGTTTGAGAAAAGATTGGATACGCGTGGGGCTAATTGGGAGCGTCTCCACAGAAAGAATTTGGATCGGTATGTGGCTAATTGGAAGCATTCCTACAGCACCGACTCACAGTTGGAGTTACAAGATATGTTGCATGAAAGTCCAACATTGTTTGGGGTAAGCCTTTTTTGAGGTGGGGGCCAGAATTATATCTGTTGAACTTGGCGTTGATTGGTGCATAAATGGTGCTTGCCTAAACAGGTCCATATTCGACTCTAGAAGATGAGGGAGTCTCGTGGACAGAGAATCGTAAGCGAGCGCCGAGGAAGCACAGATCACAATCCAGCAACTGCGCACAAAGGCGTCACCAGCACCGAAGAAACAGGTACGCTTGGCTTCAGGAAACGCGCCATCCACGGATGCCTTGCTGGTTCCCTGATGCCTGGTGGAGCCCTAACAGGTCGTTCGATCCCGCCGTAATCGAGCCGACTGTCTGTGCCAGGCATCATTGTGCAAAGCCAACACAACCCCCACTGACCATCAAAGCAATCGTCCATTGCCGAAGCGCTTTGGCAATGCCGTTGAAACGGCGCGCTGGCCTTCGTCTCGACGTCGCTCGGAGCGTCACAGGCTTTCGAAAACATGTCTAGGGACTGGGGCGCGGCCCTCGTGCGAGGATAAAACCCTCGGCGCTTTGGGGGCGACAGCCCCATCGACGTTCCCCCTCCCCGTATCGCGTTGCAGCAATCGGCCCTTACCGCGATGCGATCCGACACTGCACACGCCTTTTTCGGGGCTTGTCCTCTTCAGAACCGCCAACTGACAATTGCCCGCCGCGCGGAGCGCCATCGCCCACCGGCGCAAAGAAAAGTAGAGCTCCTTTGGCCCCAGTCGAGGGGCCCCGCCAAGAAGGCGACCCCGCTCGCGACTGACCTGTCGGTTCCGGAGAGCTGGGGGCGGGTGGGCAGGCCCCGGCCGGTGCCCAGCGTGGCCGCTGTGTGGGCCACCTGGTGGGCCACACCGGAGCGGCGGATAGTGGCAAAGCGGGCGCGGGCTTGTGATTGGATGGCGGTCAGGAACCAAGCCCTTCTTGATGGCAGAGTGGCTGTCTGGCTGATGTTCGATTTTCGATTTGCCATGATGGCCAGCACCAGACCGCGGAACACTGAGCGGCATTCTTAACATGATTAACGGAGGTTAATGAGCGCGGACGCGCCAGGACCGCGTCTGATGGGTTAAAGTGCACAGCACGGAGACCGAAGCTATCGCTCCTCGCGTCAAGCGCTGCGGGCCATAACCTAGCGCGACCGTCGCCGCCAGCCTGCTGCGGAAGCAAGCGCAAAGGATGGTAAGCACGGCGGCGGGGAGAGCGAGCCGCGCTAGCAGGAAGCGGGGAGAATTTTGCGACCCACCCACCCACAGTCCTTGGGGGTATGCCTGGAAACGGCCCTCTCGCCTCCCTCGGGAGGAAAATGGCAAATCAGGGTATGCGTGGCTAGGCGCTCAAGTATAGCGCCAAAGCAGGAATCGCAACCGTTAAGGAATGCCAGAGGGCCGTTGACGATCGAAACACGAGGCATATGCCCCTCTCCGTTCCGGGCGGGGGCGGACCATGAGGCCCGCCCCCGGATCGGGGCATTTGGCAAACCGTTAGGACGTGAGTGGACGCTACTCGAGACAGAAGCGAACGGGAAGCGTGCGGATGACTGAATGGGAATCGGACGTAGGAAGGTAGCAGCCCCGTAGTAGGACGAGAGGATACGGAGCAAGACAATTTACGGTTAAACGGTCATTTGTTAAGATACACTCAAACTTAGCAGACGAAATACATGGTACGGTTACCATAGTTTAGAGCGGCAGCGCAAACTACGTAGTTTGCCTGAATACTAATGTTGCCCCGGGCGCGAACAGCACCAGTGATTGGTTGCAACAGGGGCGAACCATATTCCTCATCGCACCCTCTATGGTGACTCAATTTCTTGGACTCAAGGCTGCGGTGCAAAACTCCAGAAGAGTAACTTGGGCCGAGAACCGACAAGAAAGAGCAACAAGACGATGCGGTTATTGAATTACGCCGCTGCATGACCAACCTTGTCAAATTCGCCAATAACTGTGGAAGCCGTACAGCGAATCGCACTGAGCACAAACGACTCACACCACCCCACCAAGGAGCCTTGCAGTCTGTGCTCACAAGGTCTTCATGGGCGGGGTGTGTTTTCTCCTTCCTTGTCTCCCACCACCGTGGAGTCCGGAGGCGTTATGCCTGATCGTAGCGGAATGACATCCACACCGCGGTGAGCTTTGAACTCAGGATTCAACAGCACTGCCAACTATCGCTCTGACGCGGGAAGAAAGGAGCATTTTCGACGCTACTTGCGCTAATCCTGGCGGTTTCCGAATTCCATCCTGAGCCAGACGCTCGTCTAAATGCAGGGGCGAGCCACAAAAGTGGCCCAATTATGTCAACTGGGATGCTCATGTTGCGGTCAGTCAACCGTGTCCGCAGGAGATACCAACTTAAAAAGGGAGGCACGACAGTGCTGACAGACTTATCCCACCCTCAGCTCGTTCGTCTACAAACATTTGTCCCCCTAGAGATACACACCCGGCACGCGAGCCACAACGCCCATTTATTGCAGTCGTCGGGCTGACAACACCTGGGTGGGCACGCAGCAGCCATCCCACCAATACCTTGCAGAGGCAGACCGAGCACAATAGTCGCATTGGCAGTCTGCACACTGCGCTAAGGCACCCAAGCCAGCCCCACCTGCCCCCACTGGCTCAACCGATGGTCGACCTGCACCTACACTATGCCCAGCAGCGGGGCCGCGCATTTCTTGTGCACTGCCCGCTGAAATACCTATGCACATCACCACCACAGCCCATGAAAACACATGATCCTGCCCAAGTGCAGGATGCGTCTGGGCCTCCTCCATCGATGCTGAACTTGACTCCGGCTATAAACTGGGCGTCTCACAGCCCAGCAAAAATGAACCGAGGTACAGCATCCAACCCCAGCATGTGCACCTCATGCTGAGACATGTCACGTTCGTGGGCACACACGGTTGCACGCCACAGGGCTCCTTCCTCCCTAATCGGCCACCATTTCTGTTTTCTGTGTTTTCGCCACCAATCGTTTCTCGTACTCAAGAATTTCACGTTCTGCAACCCACCCCAGAAGTGCTCACGTGCACCACAGTATGATCGCTCCCACAAGCTGTCTCACATTCCCAACAAGAAAAACATCAAAGCTATTTGTTTCCTGAATTGTTTCCAGATCCGGCACGCACGCCGGAGTTAGGCGTCAAAAACGCAGGGACTTTCGCAGTTCAGGGCGCTGACGGGATATCAGCAACCAAACACAAGGCTGATTCTTACCCTTGCGGGGGACTGTGACACTCCTCAAATACCAAGTCCTACGTAGACATTAAGGCAAGATACCTGAAACTAAAGTTCAATGATGAGAGCAAAAACTCATGTCATGTCAACTCCCTCCCCCTCTGCCCAGGTCCATTTATCATGGAGCCCCCTCCTCCCTCAAAAGATATGTCTGCAATTCACGGCCGTTGAACTGTTGCTGAAGCTCCACTGGCGTGTGCAGCGATTATCAATCTCCTTTCACAAAGCACTGCGTCCTGCAGCGCGGCAGAAGAAAATACTGCAAGGCTCTGCGTTGCAGGCTCTCCAGGAGCATCCCCTGCAGTTCCTCGTTGACACAGCATCCTCCCATTCTCCTCTTCCAGCTGTCTCAAAGTGTGCTATTCTGGGAACAAACAGCAAAAAAAGCAATGTCCTAAGAGCTGCAGACTTGATGCAGCAAAGTTACAGGCACCGATGGATGGTGCACAAACCGAGTGCAATGCACGTGTCCCAAAAACCCAGCAACTCTTGCAGTAATCAATGAGTTGTGTGCTGCCCCTTCTCCGTCAATGCCTCCGAGAACGACGCGCCACCTTGACAGAGGCAAGGACGCGTACCAATATGCTACGAGTTGCTGCTCGAGACGGCACAACGCTGCACAATCAACACACGAGTGTGCTTGCGCATTTGTTCTCCACCTCGCAACCATGTGTCATCTTCGTGTGCGCGTTATACCAAACCAGGCTGCGTACGTTGGTGGTGACCGTTCTCGCAACCACCAACGCGTGGGTGTCAAATTCCCTGGTCGCCGCCTCGTTGGTGCAGCGGCAGCACTTCGTAAATTGGTGACGAGTGTTTTCACAACAAAAACCAAGGGATCGCTCCGCCAACGAACACAGGTTGCGTGATGGGCAAGCCACACGCGATTCGCCGCATCCCCCGACACCCTGGACGCGAGTCCCAGTACGAACGAAGCAAGGGGGCAGCCCGGGCGAGTAGGCCTTAAATCCCCCATTACGTAACCGTCGATGGGGCAGAGGACCCTTTGAGCAGAGGCCACGTGGCCATGACTCCTCGAGTCGACAACACCACCGGCCCAGTTGGTAAACGATGACGTGCTGGGCTGCAGCACCAGCAGGGACTCGAGCGCCGCTATCGTACCCCTCTCGCGCTCTCGTAACTTTCTATCGTCTGGCAACGGCGCAGAGGGCGGCTGTTATGTCAGAGACCCTTGCGTTGGGCGCGGGGCGAGGAGGCGGGCGCGGAGGCCCACCTCTGCAACGGTCACTGCTGCACGGGCCACGCGACGCCGCGGTTCTTCAGCTCCATCAGCAGCGCCTCGCGCTCTTTCCTCAGATGGTCAAGCTCAGCCTGCAGCACGTGCACCTGCGGAACACACGTTGCGACACAAATCACGAATCAGAGACCCGCACCCCTCGCCATCGGGCCCTGGACCCCGTTGCCAGGAAACTCAGCCGAGATCGCGGCGCCACGCCCGAAAAGCAACACGCTCTTCGCTCTGCGCGTTCTAGTAGGTGCGGGCGATCCAGCTCGCGTTGCTGTCAAACAGGTCTGTCAGGCAAGGCATCCACCACCAACGCCCGCAGCGGGCGGGTCACAGTTATGCATCCCGATCTTTGGGCGAAGCGCACCAGCCGGCAGCCACCAGGCCCGCTTACATGTGCCGTCAGCTCCGTGACCTTGTTCTGCAGCCCCGCGATCCTCTGTTTCTGGCGCTCGCGGAAGCGCTGCTGCGCCAGCCTGTTGCGCTCCTTGGCGCTGGTGTGCCTGTCCTCGGGACTCTGCGGCGAGCGTCCCCCCCGTCGCAGGCCCTTCGCGTCCTCGCCGCCGTTGGGGATCATCGTGAACGCCAGCCTGCCATGCAATTGTGACGCCAGCAGGTCAGGATGCGGCCACGGGGCGAGGGCTGCACTGCCCTGGACGGGACAGCGGGGGGGCAGGGCCGGGGCCGCGGCGGGGGGTGGAACCTTCCCAGTTGCGCTCGGAAGCACGGCAATTTCGGTCCCCCCCGCCCGATCGACCCCCGGCCGGCTATAGGAAGGGCACTGCCAACCGGGCCATCAGCCACCCCATACGACAAATCGCCCTCGAGGCGGTGGCCATTTTCGACACAAAAAAATCCGGCCCGCTCAGCCACGGCGGCGGCCCGGGCTGCCCCCGCTCTCCGGGGTGCCCTCCGCAGGGCGCCCAGCCCGGCGGTCGCCCGCAGGCGGCGCCCATACGACACTTCCTGGGCCGGGGGCCGCACGAGGGACGCACTGCGGCCTCCAAAAACGCGAAACGGCCCCAACGGCCCCCTTTCCACCCACAACCCCTTTGCCCCACTCCCTCGAACGCGCGCCCCGTCGCCCCGCCGCCGCCCGGCTCCCAACCGCATCGGCCGTACGGCATGTGCACCTCCTCCGGCGTCGACCCGCCCCCTCACCCGCCGGCCCCTCACTTACTGTTGCTGCATCAGCTCCTGCACCTCGCTCCCCCTGGCCTCGCCCTCCCGCTTGGGCCCCAGGCCGGGTCCGCCCCCCTCGTTGCCGCCCAGCGAGATCAGCCCCTGCAGGCCCATCGCCTCCAGCACCTGCAGCTTCACCGCCGGCGGCAGGTCTGACAGCGACCCGGCCCCCCTGCCCGGGTTGGCCGCATCTCCCGCTGCCGCCACGGCCGCCATCTTTTCGACCACGCCGGCGTCGAGCCCCTTGGCCAGCGCGCCGGCCTGCCCGGGCATCGCCAGGCTGATCATCGCGGGAGCGGCGCTCGCGGCAGCGCTGGGCGGCAGGTTGTTGGCCGGCTCCAGCGGGGTGAGCACCATGGGGTACACGCACTGCTGCAGGGCGGCGGGCGTGCTCGCGTCAACGAGGGGGGACATCGACATGGCCTGCTGCTGGGAGACCAGCTGGATGCGCAGGCCGGCCTGGTCGGCAGCGTCAGGCTGGGGCGTGGCCACCAGGGCGCCCGCTGGCCACTGCTGTGCTTGGCCCGCCATGATGCGATGCCTGGGGCGCGGGACGGAGAATGGGAGCTCGGGAGATCGTTGAACAAGGCCGGGCGTGCGCTGTGGTGGCGGCCGGTGCGTCTGCACGCCGCGAAGGGAGCGGCAAAGGGAAGGCGGTGCAGCCGGCGTGAAGATGCCGAAACCGTGCTATTGGCCCTCTGTCAACTTCGGCGACACGGCCCATTTTCGGATCACAAATGTGTTATGTTTGGTGGACAGTACCTTTAGTAAACTGTGTCAAAAGGGCCGAAGCTGCGGTGGCCGTGGGGGCGGGCGAAGGCGGAGTCGCACTGCGGGGCCCGTGACCCACATCTTGGCGCTGATGCTCATTAGGAGTGCGCACAGAGCGGTTTGACGACCGTACAGCGCATGTAGTGATGCACGAGGATGTCATGCGCGTGGACGCCGTGACACGAACTCCTGCATCTTGGAGGTGAGGGGGGCCCACGAGAGGCACTGGGAGCGGGGTTGCGAAAACATACGGACGTATTACGACACACATCTGCGCTTTTGGAATTTAACAAACGCATGTATGAGGTGCTGACGGACAAATGTAATGTGAGTAAATGGCACCGGAGTGCCACAAACGTGGTTGCCGAAGACACGTTGCCGTTGACGCAAGATAACGGGCACCCCCCGGAGCTGCACTTTGGTTTCCCGAGGACATGGCGTTTCATGACGCTCACAGCGTCAATTGTGTGGGATGGGCACAGCATGTCCTCACAACGAAATTGGTCAAAAAGTAGAAGTTCTTGTGAGGGAGTCTCTCAGAGAGAGCCACGGGTAGCCCCCAAATGGGAACCCACCTTGATTCGGTGCCCAATTATTTGGACGTCAAGTGTCCAAAAGGCTCTTGCCTAACAACGTTGCAAGTGTTTCACATCACGTCACACCCTTGGTCCAGCTTCCCACCAAGAACTATGGAATTCAAGCGGAAAAAATGTCTAGAATTACAAGGCCGGAGCCGGCCTCGCCGCGGCTCAGGTGTTGGCGGAGGCGCTGGCGCCTTCGGAGGCTCGGCCGTTGAGGTCGCCGGCTCTCTCCACCTCGGACGGTGGGCGTATCCGGGGCAGTCGAATCGGCGGTCGCGCGGTGGGCCCATTGCTCGACGGGGATCGATCCCCGGGCCTGCTGCCGGGGTGGCGCCAGCCGGCGGTGGTTCGCCGCTCGGGAGGCCGCAGTGGGCCAAAAGTGTTACATGGATTCACAGCATGCTACACATATCGATGCTGATGCCCGATCCGGGTCCATCGCGGTCACATCATGACAAGACAAGACAAGTGCGCGTCCAAGCACATCGTCACCATCCACCGTTCACCTACGATCGACCCATTGTCCTCTAATTCCAAGCGTCTAACACCCGACCCCCTGGCCCTAAGTATTACGACTTCAGGAGGCCATATCTTCGTCAATTCTTAACGGATTTGGGCGTTTAAAAGCGCGTTGGAACCAGGAAGCTCTAAACTACACTCCCAAAAGGTCGATTTGGCCAATTACGTAATTCCAACTCCAAAAAACCTCAATAACTGCCTGACCCCAAGTAGCCACGTCACATGTGGGGTAAACCGGCCCATGGGCCACCCGCACTCCAGTTTCGAACTTTCAGAACTACCAAATTTTCGAATTTAAAATCAGTTGTATTCTGCACATTACATCGCAAGAAAGTTTTGGAGATTGTTGTTTCCCCACAATGGAAGCCTACTATCATCTTAAAGCATTCAAACATGCCTTGATAGTGTAGCCAGAAAATGGCTGCAGTTTGAGAAGTTTCAATTTTCCATTGAGTTTTGGATATTCGGATTTTATCATTTGCATATATATAACAGTATATTTGTTTTGAACTGGAAACAACTTAGGGTGTGCTTTTATCCCCATTTGAGCCTTTGTTGCAGACACACTATATGGTTGTGCACTGTTGCAGCATGGTTGCATGTTTGAATTCGTTATTTGCCACCACAATATACTGTGCCATGATGGGTCTCTAACCACCCATAGCACAATGGGACTGGGAAGCAAATGTGTCTTTCTTCATGGTGTTCAAGGTGTCGGCAGGCTAGGTATTTTATAAGATCATGTGGATTGCCTCTGGATGGGCCTTTGTTGTCATATAGCCCCTGGCAATCAAGTTTGTGGGTTGGGTGATGTTGCCCACCAGATTTGGATGAGACGCAATCGACAATCATTTAGCCATTTCCACTGGTTGAAAATGAGCGGTCCTGAAGACTAAGGTCAGGTTTGCCATTGGGGCCCCCAATTAGGGGATCACTTCTCGTGTCCTAGCAGGGTGTAGCGATTGGACATTGTACTGTACTATGACGGGTAATTAAATGACTTATATGATTTGGAAATGGTGGAGTATACTCCAAGGGATTATGGGGTTGATCCAGCAGTACGGGCACCTGTCAGGTACTTGCATTACATTGGATCATAGGTACAAACGCCCCTACGGCCATGGTACCTTGGAGGGACGTGGTATAGCTTGGGGAAGCCGCTTGGCATTACTAGAGGCACGCCAAGGGGCCAAGGGACCATGTGAGTGGCTCTCCAAGGGCCGAGGTGACATTACAAGAGGCCAAGGTTGGCATTACAGGAGTGTATTGGACATTACAGGAGGCCGAGGGTGTCATGACAAGAGGGAGAGCACGCCACCTATAAAAGTGGGCACCCCATAGGTCATTTGTCTCAATTCCCCGGTCGCCACTGCTATTGTCTAGACCAAGGGACCCACCAAGTTGTAATACATTGCTGACTGCCGCCATTGTGCCTCAATTTGGTCACCATTATCCTGGGGGATTCTACAGTGGTTTCGGAGCCAAGCGATCAAGAGCATTGAAGGGGCGATCTCTCCATCTCCATGGCATATCATGATGGTCAACCAGTCGTGTTGGGGGAGGAGAAAGCTTGCCGAACGGAAGAGCATTACCAGAAGTTGATGCAGATGGTCAATCAAGCCCGTGAATGGAATCAACAACTAGAGTGGGAGATGGTCATGTTGCATAAGGAGAGGCAGGCTGCCGAGTACCGAGGTGACCGTCGATCTCGTGCTCTAGCTCAGGATATGGTCGAGTTGATTGTAGAGTTAATTGCTGGTCGTGGAGCGGCACTAATGGGCATGAAAGTAGAGAAGCCTGAGACCTATGACGGTGTGTCGGCTTCCCTTCGGGCCCCCCGTTGTTGCAAGGGGGCCTCCGATGTGCGTGGTGGTTAGCCGCTCGATGCTTCGCCTCCGCCGGGTCCGAATGGTCGGACTGCACATGCTGAGCATGGCGCTCGTGGCGGTATGCTTAGGGACAGGTGAGCTCGCGGGCTCCGCCAGCCAGGTTGGCCAAGGTCGCGGAGGCAGGTCACGGGAGGAGTTTGCTTGTGCGAGAAAGGATCATTACTACACCGTACTGACCACATAAGTATGGTGACCAACTCACGGGTCCCCGGTGCGGAAACAATCCGTGTCATGGCACCCACACCGATGCCTTAGTGTACTGTCATTGTACATATACACTTCATAACTCGAAAATAAATATCTTGACCGTTCATAATCTGATACGGTGCCAAGCATCGTGATGTTGACACATGGTTGTTCCAAATCGAGAAGCACATGAATGAAATACCTGACTAGAATACCCGTCACCTCTCGTGTGGGATATGTTGCATCGCTGTTGTTGTGGAATTACATGGGGGTAGTTACAGCCAGGTTTCTTGGGACCAATTTAGTGGCCTTGGCTGTTCATTTATAGAGTATTCTGGGTGGTTGTGAGTTCCTGGGACTGGTGGAGGCTTGCCGGAACAATTACACTACATTATGATAATGTACAATGCGTTTCCTGGTGTGTTGGCCACCCAATGTAGGGTGAGTCAGCTGCGCTGCGCGGGAGTGGCAAAACCGCGCCTGTCTGACGTTCTGTAATCGCTTTCAGACCCCAGCACCCGCGCTTGTAGCCACCGAGTGCGAGGAGTCGACCCGCCGGGCCTTTGGGTCCTGTGCCGCACCCCGGCGATCTTCGGATCATACGGGCCCACCACAGCGAGCGAGAGGGGAAGCGAGCGCCCCGAGATTCCACACCTTTCGGTGTGAGAGGCTGCCCATCGGCAGCGACCGGGCGCCGTCGGGAGGCGCCTATTGAGGCATCGAACCACCACATCAGGTTGTTTCGGAGCTGGTGACCGGGGGGAACGCGGACGCACGACGCGGGAGCGAGGAGAGTGGCCGCGAGAGGGACGAGATCGGGCGGAGATCCGGCCCCGCGGATCCGGAATCGGGAGAGGCGGTCAACGTGGGATTCCGCGGTGAATCGCCGGTCGATTGTGGAGGCGCCGGCCCATGGGAAGGCAGCGCGAGCGAGTTCGATCGACGGGGAGCCGGAGGGACGCAGGCCCGCGTCGAGGGAGTGAGCAGCGAGGCCAGCCGCGGGCGAGGCGAGTCGTTGAGTTGACAGCAGCCAATCAGAGACGAGCAGCCCCGTCACGTGACAATCCCGGGCACGCGGGGGGAAGGCGCCCCGTCACGTGACAATCCCGGGCAAGCGACGGGGGCAGCGCCCTGTCACGTGCCAATCCGGGGGGAGCGGCAGTACTGACGCCTACTGGCAGTACTTTGGAGCAGCCAGAAGCCACCAGTACCAAGACCAACGACCAGTGAGGCTACTGCAAGGCTACAGGAGGGTTTCCAGCCCAAGCCAACAGTACTTTAAGACAACCTCAGTACTTGGTGACCAAGGCAGGGAAGCAATACAGTACTTAAGGGCTGCAGTACTACCGCAAAGTACTACAAAGCCACTCCACACCCAAGAAAGGTGGGTTGGCTGCTATTCCTGCATAGTGATCGTGACGTGCGGGGGAGACCTGTGTGGATCCAAGCGGGCCCCTACTAAGGGACTGTGTACCCCTGGCGCACGATCCCACTGAGCTAAGATCAGTGGTAGGTTTGAACGCCTAAGGTACTCGCCGGGAGCCGTGGCTGTCAGGCTCGGGTTGAAGCCACCGGTACCTAGGAG